ATTCCTCCCACACACGCACACACTCAAGAGACCTCTGCCACTCCACAACCATCTCCTGGACGGAATACTTCCCTTGGTGACAGCTAAACTTCGGCGGGAGGATGGGCCATTGCAAGGTCGAATTTGTTATTGGCAGCCTTCATTCAATCAACTGGAAAGTTTTCCACTGGAGGATCAGGAAGACTGGTTGGCACCACTGTTCCCTCTAAGCTGAGTTAGTGTGAGCTAGCTCAGTTTTTTAGCCTCCGGCTCACACATTTTTCTCTTCGCTCAGGAAGGATGGCTCCAGAGCAAACTAATTTATGCAGCAGCCAAATCGCTCGCTCACAACTTTAATGCCAGTAGCTCACAGAGTAGAATTTTTGCTCACAAGCCTCCACAGCTTAGCGGGAACATTGGTTGGCACCTGGGTTTTTCTGGGTCAATATTGGCTTATATGAGCCGGTGCACTAGGTACTATTTATTTATATTTATGTTCCATTTATAAATAAATAAAGTGAGCCAGTGCACTAGATACTATTTATTTATATTTATTTTGTTCGATTTATAAATAATGTGAGCCAGTGCATTAGGTACTATTTATTTATATTTTTGTTCCATTTATAAATAAAGCGAGCCGGTGCACTAGGGACTACTTATTTATATTTATTTTGTTCAATTTATAAATAAATAAAGCGAGCCGGTGCACTAGGGACTACTTATTTATATTTATTTTGTTCAATTTATAAATAAATAAAGCGAGCCGGTGCACTAGGTACTATTTATATTTATTTTGTTCAATCTATAAATTGAATTTATAAATTTATAAACCTCATTAGATGGTTTGCTTTTACAATTAGTGAATGCCTTCCTATCCCCTTTGACATCTCCCACTGCATCTTCCTTTCTGGCTGGGAAATCCAAATGTCCCCTTTGCTATAGATTCATATGGATCTTGCAGATGGGATTTACTGATTTCAGATTGCTGACCAATCCATTGTGTTCTCTGTCTGCCACCAAGCTGTGATCGCTGGCTGCATGTGGAGTGGGAACTCAAACCCGGTTCTCCAGAGCAGTCTGCTGCTCCTAACCACTACACTGAACTGTGGTGGGCTACGGCCTGGGAGACCTGGGTTTGAATCCCCGCTTTTTGGGCCAGTTATGCTGCCTCATGCAGAAGGCAACTGAGTCATGACGTCAGAAGGGCCCCCCCCTTACATGCGCGGTCCGTTTCAGTGTGAAGATAGACTCCCCCCACCACAAAGACACCTTCATATGAGCACAGGTCTGCAGTCCACTGCATTTATTATTTGTTGGTATCTTCCGTATGCTGGCAAGAAATAGTAACACAGTGTTTTAAACGGATATATATTTTATTACATAAGATTTCACAGAAACAACCCCTCTGCAAGCACAAACACTATATTTTTTTTTAAAAAAGGAGAAAGACAAATACAAGCCATAAATAAATAATGATAATAATAATAATAATATATAAGGAATTTTGGACACAAAGAAAAGGTGAGATTAAACTTTTAATAGAAAGAGCTGAAAGGAAAGAAACAAAAACAAACATTTTATTTGCTGTGATTTTAACCACATTCAGGACATGTATTTATATACGTTTGCACGCATGGAAATATCGAACAGCACATGCTCAAACTCTTGGGCATCCGAAATTAACTGTTATTCTGTGTTGGAGATGAGATCTGTACAAGTGTATGAAAATCTGGCTGCTCATGTTTTGCACATGCACACAGACCGTGCTCTCCACTCCAGAGTTTCTAAGGGCATGGCCTCACACTGGGTTTCCCCCTGCCCTGCCACCCTTGAAGGCTAAAAAGCTGCAGAGTGGCTTGCAAGCGCCCCTTCCGTTACTTACCTGGGAGTCCCAAACGCCAAGTACAGATCCCTCTGGTCGGAGGCCTCTCTGGGCTTGGGGGAGAAGAGACACCTGCCTTATTCCAAGCTGCTGGTGCAGGGGGTCTCCAGCCCTTTTGATCCGGCAAACAACCTTTGGAATTTTGACACTGGGTGATGGGTGCAGCCACAAAATGGCTGCCGTAGCTTACCTTGAGTCACACAGGGGAAGATCCTTCTGCTTTTGTGGCTGCAGCTGCCAGAGCAACATTTAGAAAAACCCGCACAGCCGGTCAAATCTTCAACGGCCAATCAGAAGCCCCACCTGGCCCCAACCACTTGGCGGGCACCAGGACAGGTGTTGGCGGCGCCCACAGCCACCACATCGGACCCCTGCACTAGCTGCTCAGAAACCATCTCCTTGTCTCAGAGACGGGAAGGCTAAATTTCCACAACTTTATCCGCTGACAAGTTAATAGATGGCATTGTGTTAAATGAATTTGCACTTACAGTCTGTATTATTGTTTAAACAGTAATCTTGTTTATGTATATTTGACTTATCTTCTAATAAAATCGTTTATTAAATTAAAAAAAAAAAAGGACGCCCGGCAATCCCCGCACGGACAGATTTTTACAGGTTTTATGTACAAAATAATCCCCCCCCCCCCTTTCCCCCCGGTTTGGTCTCAGGGGGAGTGTTTATGCCCTTGGGTCTAGGGCCAAGGTCTCCAATAAGCCTGTGGTGGGGGCAACCGTTTGGGAGAGGCGGCGCCCGGGTGGGTGTGTCTCTGCTGACTCCCGAGTCGTCCCCCGCTGGAGCAAGGCGGGTCCGTGCTGCGCAACGGTTCGTCGGTCTGCTTCACGGGGGAGCAGAAGGCTTCCGGGGTCCTCGGAGGCGTCTCCCCCAAGGAAGAGTTAGGAGAGAGAGGCCCGCAGCTCCAGTCGTGGCCGCGGGGCTCTGGCTTGGAAGCGAGGTACAGGTGCAAGGTGTCGAGCAGGTGGCTCTGGACGGAGGGATGGGCTTGCTGGATGAAAGCCGCCAGGCCTAGGAGACATTCCCGGAATCCCATCATGTAGCAGGCCTGCAGGGTCCTGTCTTCCGGGAGGTCAGCGCCTGAAAGAGAGGAAGTTGAGAGCAGGCCGGAGAGCTGGTCAAGCAGACACTGTTGGAACCAGACACCCCACTTCTAGAGCTCGCTGGCTGCATGTTGCACCATTTTTTCCCCAGGGCACGTTTTGTAAAACAGGTAACAAATAGGTACTCGCGGGCGCGGGTGACCCCCTGTAGATCGGTGGAGCCTGCGCATCCCTTTGCCGGCTGAAGCCCAAGGCGATCCACACATTCGGCTACGAGGCTTCGAGGGATGGGTGTGCTTTCATCCTCCTGTAAGGGGCACGCTTGCGCGGGTGGTGCACTGGGTTGCTGGCACCAGAGAAGCCACCCCATGTGACCAGAGCTGTTAGAGGGGCCTGCCCAAGAGGGAGCCCGGCTGAGCCCCTGTGGTTCTGCTTCTCACCCTTTGTGTTTATAAAGAAACAGACTTGGCAGAAGACGCATCTCCAGTGCTCACTTCTCCCCCCCTCCACCCGCATAGGTACAGAAGCAGCGGAAGGGGTTTCCATTCCCCCCCTTTTTGTTGACTTTGTAACCAAGATACACCCCCAACTGACCACCCTGTGGGGCCAGCTCCTGCCAGACACACACATGTTCCCTCCCCTGCCCGCACCGCGCTGGTCAGCTGTACCCTGGGGTTTAGCGGAATTCATCTCTCGCAGGTATCCTACGGCGATCTCCAGGATCTCCGCTTTCTCCACTTTGGGGTTCTTCAGAGTCTGTAAAGAAAGAGGGCCGAGAGGGTGGCTGAAGGGGAAATTTTGTGGGAAAGGGATGAGCGTGCACGCGAGCGAGCGGCACTGGTAGCGAAAAGGAACCTCCACGTTCAGAGGCAGTAGACCTCTGACTGCCACCTGCTGGGGGGAAACAGCAGAGGGCCTGCGGTGGGCCTTCTCCGGCTTGGCCTGGGGTGCTCTGGCGGAGGGGCGCAGAGCTAAAGTGAGGCAAGCGTGCCGACGACTCAAAGAAGACACGGGGTGACCATATTTTGAAAAGCCAAAAAGAGGGCATATTTCCAGAATGACTACTCCAAACAAGCGATCATTATGACAAATCTCATTTTAAACACCCTGACTGTTTAAGCTGTGACCACTGCTACCCTTCAGTGTTCCCTCTAAGCTGAGTGAGTGTGAGCCAGCTCACAGTTCTTTAGCCTCCGGCTCACACATTTTTGTCTCGGCTCAGGAAGGAGGGCTCCGGAGCAAACTAACTGATGCAGGAGCCAAACTGCTCGCTCACAACTTTAATGCCAGCAGCTCACAAAGTATAGGGTTGCCAAATCCTTTTCGTCTTGCGGCGGGAGGCTCCCGGACGGTGTCCCTTGCACGCGCGCAAAGCGCACGCGCACCGCATGCACGTCACCCGGATGTGACGTGATGACGCCGGGCACGCTGGAGGCGGGGCCACAGCCATTTGAGGGGAAAACTCTGTTTTCCCCTCAAATGGCTGTGGCCCCGCCCCCAACGTGCCCGGCGTCATCACGTCACATCCGGGTGACGTGCACGCCGGGGTGGGGTTTCCCCCGGGGCCCAATTCTGTGGTGGCAGAAATCGGGCCTCCAAAGCGGGGGGAAATCCGCCCCCCGGGGGGGAATTGGCAGCCCTAACTAAGTAGGATTTTTGCTCACAAGACTCCACAGCTGAGAGGAAGCATTGCTAACTAGGGATATTCCTAACCTTCCAACCCCAAAAGAGATTTTCATCAGTTTTTAAAAAAAGAGCCCAAAATTGGGCAGACGTCAAAAAGAGCGCATGTCCTCTAAAAACTGGACATAACCCTACCGTTCCATTAATAGGCCCAACCAACTCTTAGTGTGTGCCAAAGAAAAACCTCATCTTCACCACCAAATAGGAGACCCACGTTATCTGAGCTCAGACATCGGGACTCACAGAGAGAGGGTAAACCAGTGTGCCAGCAGGAGTTGAGTTTGGAAATGAAAGCATCGCGCAATTTGAGCGAGAGAGCCATCTCTTTCTTTAAATTTCTTTAAAGGCAGCGTTGACTGGACCCCATTGGCTGGGCAGAAAGCCAGTGTGGTGTCGTGGATCTGTGAGACCCAGGTTCGAATCCCCGCTCAAGCCCTGGAAGCTTGCTGGGTGACCTTGGGCCAGTCGCACGGTCTCAGTAGCCTACCTCATGGGGTTGTTGTGAGGATAAAAAAGTGGGGAGAACAATGTATGCCACTTTGGGTTCCCAGAGGGCAGGGTACAAATAAAGTAAATAAAAGGATACAATAAAGTCATTCCTTTATTGCCATAACTAATTCCTATGGGGCAAGCTGACTTAGGAGCCGGGTGTGGGCTTGCTTCGAAAAAGCCGGCAGCCTCTCCACCTCCCGCCACGATTGACTCCATTACTCTTTATGTGGATTTACGTGTTAGATATGTAAACTCTATCTTAGCCAACATGACGAACTTTCCTGATGCTTTAAAAGTGCACCGTCTTCTAAATGACTCTGTTCCGGAAATATCAATGAACGTGGCCATGTTTTTACAATCCGCGATAAAGCCACGTCAGGAAAACTTACAATGAGTAATTGTTTTATCCTACATTACGTTTTATATGTATGGTTACACTTGAAGAAGAAGAGAAGAGATTGGATTTATACACTTCCCTTCACTCGGAGTCTCAGAGGGGCTTACAAACTCCTTTCCCTTCCCCTCCCCACAACAGACACCCTGTGAGGTAGGTGGGGCTGAGAGAGCTCTGAGAGAACTGCTCTTGAGAGAACAGCTCTGAGAAAACTGCGGCTGACCCAAGGTCATCCAGCAGCTGCAAGTGGAGGAGTGGGGAATCAAACCCGGTTCTCCCAGATTAGAGTCCGCGAACTTAACCACTACACCAAACTGGCTCCTATACTATATTTATAGTAATCCTTTTTAAGGCATTTTATGCCAATAAAGGTCAACTCAACTGAACTGACAATACTACTCGAATGCTGGTCCCTGCATCTGCTCCCACCAGCCTCAAATGTTCCTTGTGCCCTGGAGAGGCACCAGCTTACCGCTGGGGAGGTCTGAGCCCAAAGTTGTGACAGTGCTGGAGTGACCACGGAGGAGACCAGATCCGATGCCCAGAGCCACCCATTTGCCTGCCTTTTAGAGAGCATCCACTGAGTCTGCCCTGCCAGTAGGGCCAAGCAGAGCAATAGCTACACCTGCTGGCCGATGCAGAAATAAAGGCACAGTGCGCTCCAAGCCCCCTAGGAAGCAACCCAGGGCGGTGTTCAGGCGGTCACATCCTTGGGGCAGGGAGGTAGAGGGAAGCTGCAGGGGGCCCCCCCTCACTGACCTGGCGGTGGGTTCTCTGCAGGAGGAGGAGGCGAAGTTCTTCTAGGCTCCTATTGATGCGGTCCCTCCGCCGTTTCTCCACTAGGGGCTTCAGCATCTGGACAGAGAAACAATGGGGGGGTTGACCCCTGCATGGGGGACTAACCTGGCACACCGGCAGGCAGAATAACGCACTACTTCACAGAGCAGGGAGGCGACCTTCCCCGGGGAGGGGGGGTGTCTTCCTTCGAAAATGCAACATGGGAAACGCTCCCGGTTTTATCCACTAGAATACTTTTTGGTTAAACGTCTGCAGTCAATTTAACGTTAGCAATAAGGTTGCCAGCCCCGGGTGGGGAAATTCCTGGAGATTCGGGAGGGCGGGAGGTGGGCTTGGGGAGGGGAGAGACCATGGAGCCCACCCCCCAGAGCGTCCGTTTCCTCCAGGTTCTGTTGTCTGGAGATGGGCGGGAATTCCAGGAGACACCCCCAGCCCCCACCCAGAGCTTGCAAACCAAAGAGAGAGATCACGGGATGGAAGTGGAAAGGAAGCAAACAGCCGTGATGTGTAGTGCCAAAAAAAGAGGGTTCTTCACAGACCTGTAAATTCTTTCCCCCATATTCAATTTACTGGAAGCAATTCAAACGCCATCCACACAACGAATCATGCATATAACATCTCGTTTCGTGTATAACGTTATCAGAGTGGGGAGGAAAGCGATGACGAACCTCAACAGCATGATAAAAAGTAGAGACATCACCCTGCCAACAAAAGTCCGCATGGTCAAAGCGACGGTATTCCCAGTAGTCATGTATGGCTGCGAGAGTTGGACTCTAAGGAAGGCCGAGCGCCGAAGAATAGATTCTTTTGAACGATGGTGCTGGAGAAGACTCTTGAGAGTCCCTTGGACTGCAAGAAGATCAAATCAGTCAATCCTAAAAGAAATCAACCCTGACTGTTCCCTGGAAGGCCAGATAATGAAACTGAAGCTCAAATACTTTGGCCATCAAATGAGAAGGGAGCACTCACTGGAGAAGAAGACCCTGATGCTGGGAAAGACTGAAGGTCAAAGAAGACGGGGACGGCAAAGGATGAGATGGTTAGACAGTGTCATGGATGCAACGAACATGAAATTGACTCATCCTTTGCCGTCCCCGTCTTCTTTGACCTTCAGTCTTTCCCAGCATCAGGGTCTTTTCCAGTGAGTGCTCCTTTCTCATTTGGTGGCCAAAGTATTTGAGCTTCAGTTTCATTATCTGGCCTTCCAGGGAACAGTCAGGGTTAGGGACAGGGTCAAATCCATTAGTGTGATTTGATTCATTTGATTCGCACTAATGGACTTGATGAATGTGACTATGAGATATGACTAGAGTGTTTGCCAAACGGATTAAAATTATACAGGTATTTCAACGCTACCCACTTTGATAAAGTTATACACGAGAGAAGGCGTCATATGCATGGTTCCTGTGTTGATGGCATTTGAATTGCTTCCAGTAAACTGAATATTAGAAAAAGAATTTACAGGTCTGTGAGGAACTTTTTTTTTTGGGCACAAAACATCATGGCTGTTTGTTTCCTTTCAACAACCCGCCTGAAGGCTGGCAGCCCCAGGAACCTGAGTGGTTGTTTGGGGGGCCCACTTCCAGAAATCCATCCATTTGTGACAACCTGAGAGCCAGAACCTTTTTCCAAGGGGGGGGGGGACCTGTGAAGAATTGATGGAGCTGAGGGCTTGCAGGCCCCCCTGCTGCAAAGACATGGGGAGTCAGGGGTGGTGGGGCCTTGCAGCTACAGGAGGGCCTCCCGGCTTCCAAAAACAAGATTCCAGACCAGCATTCCCTCTAAGCTGAGTTAGTGTGAGCCAGCTCACAGTTTTTTAGCCTCCGGCTCACAGATTTTTGTCTTCGCTCAGGAAGGATGTCTCCAGAGCAAACTAATTGTATGCAGCAGCCAAATCGCTGGCTCACAACTTGAATGCCCGTCGCTCACAGAGTAGACTTTTTGCTCACAAGACTCCGCAGCTTAGAGGGAGCGTTGTTCCAGACCCAGCAATTTTCATTTGAAAGGCAGGCAATACGCCTATGTGACACACACCCCCACACACACACCATTGTAACTAAAACCAGCACACCTTGTAGGGTTGCCAACTCCTGCTTAGGAAATTCCTGGGTATTTGGAGGTGGAATTTGGGGTGGAAATAGGGTTACCAGCTCTGGGTGGGGAAATACCTGGAGATTTTGGAGGTGGAGCTGGGGGAGGGGAGTGGAGGGACCTCGGTGGGGTATAATGCCCAAGAGTCCACCCTCCAAAGCAGCCATTTTCTCCAGGGGAACTGATCTCTGTTGTCTGGAGAGCAACTGCGGCAGCGTGAGATGTCCAGGCCCAACCTGGAGGCTGGCAACCGTAGGAGGGAGGGGTGGGGGGAGGGATTTCCGCAAGATATAATGCCACAAAGTCCACCCTCCAGACCTGCTATTTTCTTGGGGGGCGGGGCGGGGGGGAGAGCTGATCTTGGCCATTTGGAGATCAGTTCTAATTCCGGGAACTTCCTTTCCCCACCTGGAGGTTGGTAACATTCTGTTTGTGCCTCCCAGTGGCCTCTGGTGTCTCAAATGCCAGACTGTCAGACAGTGTTCCCTCTAAGCTGAGGTAATGTGAGCTAGCTTACAGTTTTCTAGCCTCCGGCTCACACATTTTCCTCTTCGCTCAGGAAGGGACGGCTCCAGAGCAAACTAAGTCGCTCGCTCACAACTTTAATGCCAGGAGCTCACAAAGTTAGAATTTTCGCTCACAAGACTCCACAGCTTAGAGGGAGCGTTGCTGTCGGACCCTCCAGGCCTCCTCCCGGTCCTAATGCCCCCCTCACACTTGCGGGGGGGGGGGGCTGCTACAAGCCGCTGAATCACCCCCAGTGAAACTGTAACCAGAGAGGTACCGTGGCTCGGATCTGCCTGGCTCACTGCCCTAAACCCATGTCCTTTCCACCACCCCTCCTCCCACCACGAAAACCTCCCCCCCCCCCAGTGCCCCAGTCCATCCTGGAGAACCTTCCCCCTTGGGGGGGGGGCAAATGCCTTGCAAGGCCTCGCGCTACCTTGAGAAGGGGGTGGCATTTTTGGGGTGTGCAATTATTTTCCCCCATGATCAAAAGAAAAGAAAACAAACAGCGTTATTAGACTCGAACTGCTGGAAAGAATACCGAAGATTGACATTTCCCCTTCCTCCAAACCGCCCCATCCACACAGCCTTGCGCACCCCCCTAGGATCTCCTCCCCCTTCCCAGTTTCCTAGGCAGGGGGAAGTTTGCTGTGGTGATCGCCACTGCTGAATTGCAACGGATAATGAAACTCAAGACAGCACATCTTCCTGGACTTAATGGAGACTTAGGTTTCCTGTCTCTTTACCAATGCTGATTTCTCCACGCCAGGACCCCTCTGCATCTCACACCCAATCTAATCAGGCTGGCTATTGTCATTCACCTGCTAATGTCATTTGGGATCTGAAAGGACTTCACCTTTCAATATAGAGGACCGATGGACTCCCATTCTAGCTTTATCTGAAGAAGTGAGCAGTGACTCAGGAAAGCTCCTCCCCTGCCACGAATTTTGTTACTTTAAGTTGCTCCTGGGTCTCTTATTGTTTTCTACTGATTACTGTGCAAAGGAGCTCCGGGCCAGGTTCGGGGGCACACAACACAGGGCATCTGAGGGGACAGAAGGAAGGGGGGGGGGAATTTGCCTAGCGTATTGAATGGATTGCAAAGGGGCAGCCGGTTGATGCCATGACCTATGAGCAAACGGGTCAGGCAAGCGCGATCCCACCAGATCTCGGAATCTAACCAGGATCGGGCCCGGTTAGTCCTTGGATGGGAGTCCCGCAAGGAAATCCAGGCTCGATCTGCAGAACCAGGAAATGGCGCATGGGCGCACACACAAACACACAGTCCAGTGTTCCCTCTAAGCTGAGTGAGTGTGAGCTAGCTCACAGCTCTCTAGCCTCCGGCTCACACCTTTTTGTCTTTGCTCAGGAGGGATGGGGCTCCAGAGCAAACTAATGGATGCAGCAGCCAAATCGCTGGCTCGCAACTTTAATGCCAGTAGGATTTTTGCTCACAATATTCCACCGCCTAAAGGGAGCATTGGACTCCAGCCAGTGTTCCCTCTAAGCTGAGTGAGTGTGAGCTAGCTCACAGTTCTTTAGCCTCCGGCTCACACCTTTTTGTCTTTGCTCAGGAGGGATGGGGCTCCAGAGCAAACTAATGGATGCAGCAGCCAAATCGCTGGCTCGCAACTTTAATGCCAGGAGCTCACAAATTAGAGCTTTTGCTCACAAGACTCCACAGCTTAGACGGAGCATTCACACGTTGCCCCGACCCGGGTCGTAGCCCAGGCTGGCCGGATCTTGCCCTGGCGAGTCTTTGGCGGGGAGACCACCACGGGAGCCCCCAAGGTCGCTCTGCGCAGGCAGCCAACGGCCAACCCGCCTCTGCTCGCCTCTCGTCTCGGAAACCTCCATCAGGGGCCGCAGTCCGTCGGCTGCGACTCGACGGCAGCTCCCGCCCACCTCCGGGCGTCCCCGCCGCAGAAAACAGACGGTCCCGCCGCGCCTTCCAGCCCACCCCCCAAACCCCCTTTCCCCCCCCCCCCCGCGACGCGGAGCATTCCTTGCAACCAGTGCTCCCTCTAAGCTGAGTGACTGTGAGCTAGCTCACATTTTTTAAGCCCCTGGCTCACAAGTTTTTGTCTCCGCTCAGGAAGGAGCGCTCCAGAGCACACTGACTGATGCAGCCGCCCAATCGCTCACTTACAGCTTTCATGCCAGCAGCTCGCAAAGTAGAATTTTTGCTCACCGGACTCCACAGCTTAGAGGGAACATTGCAAGTTGCAACACGCGCTTTTGGGAACGCTCAGCACCGATTGCAACACGTCTCTGGCGCTGGCCTGTAGCTAACACGGGGCCCACGGGGCCTGGCCCCCTGGTGTTTCTTCTGGGCCCCCTCCCTCTCGGGCTGCCCCCAAAGTGCTCCAACTTACCACCTGCACTGTACTTTCGTTTAATTAACTGGTGGGGCCCCCGAGGCCCCCTCCCAAAAAATTCCCTACGCATTGCAAGGAACG